AGGCCACTATAGCTTCCGGTTCCTTTACAATAAATGTCCAAAAGAGATCATAATAGCCTAATTCTGATCTAATAAGGGGGTTCAGAATTTGCAGTCATTCTAAAGGAAAACAGTCACGTGTATATAATTTTCTCAAGAATTCAAAAGACATTTAATATGCTTTCCTAAACTTGTATTATCAGTCAAGGGGCTCAAAGAGAACAATCTGCCATGGACAGAACTATGGAAAGTTAAATCGCCTAAAAAATCGGTATTATTCCACAAACTATCCTATATAAATGTCCAATTGCTTCCACCCTCACTCTACCCCACTTTTTGGTTTTGATTTCGCGGTTTAAAGGGACAACGAGTGTCTCAACTCTGTCACCCAGGCTGGAATAATAATGGCTGCAATCCAACAGCTGCACTTGCAGCCTGGACCTCTCCATGGCATCAAAACGATCCTTCCTGCTCCAGCCTCCCAGCACCTCCTAGGAGATGGGAACTCACACGGTGTACTCACCTATAATACTTTTAAAAGCAATAACATAACCCTTCCTACAATAAGAGTTTGATTGTGAATGCTTTCAAACTCGGAGGGCGAAAGTCGTAAAAATAACTTGCGGCAATCAATTCTCCTGTCTAATGAAAATGCATGTGCATCTTATTTACTTCCAAAGCAATATTGCTCAAGCTTGAAGCTTTTTGCTAGAAGCATAAAAAGCCGGGGAGTGGCAATCATTCTCTGTCGAGTGAAACTGCATTGCTCTTATTTACTCTTGCCCAAGCAATATTGCTCAAGCTTGAGCTTTTTGCTAGAAGAGTGAAACAAAACATAGTAAAGAGTGTTCCATATCCAGGAAAATGACAAAAACAATTCTGATGGAAGCCTATAAAACATTGCTTCTTTTAAATCCAACAAAACAGGTGAAACTCATCCTATCCCTTACCCCCCTACATCTTTGGAACTTGATTGTCTTTGAAATACACGCCAGCGCAATAAAGGCAGTAACATTTCCATTTTGGTCCACTTTTTTACACGAAAGGAATTTTTAATTATAATGGCTGACAACAGACAAGAGCAAAAAAAAGAAGAAGCAGGGGAGCGATTGAACCGAGGAATCTTCCCCCTGTCGTGTAACTCTGTGATCTGTTATATGTCCTGAGCTCTTTCTCATACAGTCTAATCTGAAGCTCTGCACTCGGCAGACACTCGCAAGCCTGGGAACAACCAAAAGCGCTTTTTACCAGGGGTCTAACTGAGATCTAACATCTCTTAAGATTTAAAGGTATTTCAACCTGATCTTAAAAGATTACAGTACCCAGGCGTGTGGCCTCAACTCCAGTACATCCCAGGCACTTTTGGGAAGGCGCAGGAGGTGCGCAGCGAGCGTGCGAGGAAGGAGAAGCCGTCTGCCGCGAGCAGGATGAGGAACCCCGCATCTCTGACGGGGGGGGGAGAGAGAGAGAGAGAGAGAGGGGGGCTTGACCGGGTTGGCGGGCGGATTGCACGGCGGTCGGCGGCACGGCCCGACGCGCCCGGCCGCGACGCGACAGCGCGCGCGAGCGCGAGCGAGAGAGCTCTTGAAACTGGCGCGACAGGGTTAGCAGTTTTCAACTTGAGCCTGAGATGGCACCTCTTGGCCTCTGCGCCTGGCCACAGAGCAAGACTCCATTCTCCAAAAGAAAAAAAAAGAAAAGATTGCAATAAACATGGCTCCATCACTCACAGTTTTAAGAAGTAAAAAAAACAAGTCAAGTCTAAATGACCAGCATTTACAGCGACGTTTCAAGAGACATATAAAAGCTAGACCACGAGTCTGTTCATTTTCTATTTCTTATCATCCTGAAAACTCTACCCAACATGTTCTGCGACCACCATGGAGACTCCAACGAGAACAGCTAATTCAGGTATGATGTCTATTCCAAATCCCAGCAATTTCTGAAAATACCTTGAAACTCAATGGACCATTATAACTAAAAAGAACTTCCCATCCATAAAGAGTACAAGCAAGAATAATACACAGACGGTCTAGTTCCACGCACGTGGCAGACTCCTGAGACCATGTTGCCTACCATGCACCTGGTCTTCAGTTTTTCAGTGCAGGGATTCTAAAGAGGAAACACATCGATGTCTTATCCTAGAGACTAAATAGAAATGGAACTACTTTTAAGGTCATGTGAAGACTGCGAAGGTTTTAAGACTGCACTATACTCTGAAAAGAAAAGAACAAATCAGGGCGCGGCGAGGCCCAGTTTTACATACGTAATAACTCTACCTATGTACACCATGAACCATTTCCTATTCTAAAATACATGAGAAGTTTCTCCTCTCTAAAATAGAAAGAGCCACCATATTTTCACACTGCGGCTATGAACGGACCTAAATCAAAGATATATAGCAAGTACATAATACGTACCTTAGCATAGTATTGGCCAATGCTAACAGTGTTCAATAATTTATACTTGTTTTGCAAGATAAGCACTCAAACGTAAGAATCGATACAAGACACCAGAAGTACAGCTAACATTAATTCAAATGATACAAAGGTAGTTTTTTAAAATAATCCAGAATATGAGAAATTGTCTAGAATATCTTTCCTCTAATGTAACAATTACTAATTAAATTAAGTAATATAACTAAGACT